CCGCCTCCGACATGACGGCATCTGAGAGCGGAGCTCCGGCGTCCATTGAAGCTTCCCTCCTTGAAGAAGGTGAGGAGAGGAGAGCGGGGAGAGAGAGAGAGCTTTTTTTTTGCTTGTAGGAATCGAGTTTAGTTACAGTGAAATTAGCAAATTATTATTTGGTCCGATCCTTTACATAATTTACATTAACTTGTAAAATCCTAATTTAATACATCATTAGTGTGGGGGTTAATTGCAAACAGGTCCCTAGTAGTATTACTGTTTTGAGCTTAGTATCTATGGAGTTTCATTTTAGCAGGTAGAACCCCTGGGTAGCCTTTAACTCACCGGACTCAATAATTTCTTCACCTACATACTATTGACAAAATCTTTCAAATTTCACCCAAGATAAAAAGAATTATATGCCCACTTAAAATAGACATGATTATGAATCATGTATCAACATAGAGCATATCCAACGCAAGTGTACATGTATTATGTATATTAACTCAATGGGTGAAACAATTATTCAAAATAATAATAAATTTAGTGGTTTTTTTTTATAGATATTAGTACCTTAGATCTTTGATATTTTGAAATAATTCCCTCAGATCATTGAAATTGCTTAGATCCATCAGAACTTAAGTTATTTTTAAATTAGTCTCTTAAACTATTGAAATTGCTATTATACCCTCGGTAATTTGAAGTTAATCCCTCTAAGTAGCAATAAGAGGGGTATTAGTCCCTCAAAATCATTGAAGTTTCTATTGGAGCCACCAATTCTCATAAATTGTTTTAAATAATCCATTTACTTACTAATTATACTATTGATCTAAGTGATTCAAAACAATCTAAATTTTGGGGGACCTAATTGTAATTTTAAAGATTCTAATTTGAAAATTAGCTTAAAAATTAAGGGACTTCATAGCAATTTCAATGATGTGAGGGACTAGTTCAAAATATGAAAGAGATAGGGGACTAATATGGACAAAACTCCATAAAAGTAAGGGACTAATGTTCCATGAAATGATATTTTTTTTCCAATTAAAAAAAAGTCTTAGGTTCTTATTTATGTGATTATTATGGATTGAAATATGACGCTTCGTGTTTCTTGATGTTGAATCGGAAAAAGGTATCGTTAGGCAGCAACACGTTAACACGCAAGACGGCATAAAGTCCAAAAGAAGATTTGAGCCTGAGTCAACACGGTTTATGGACCCTAAATAAAGAGTATCCCTTAATAAGCTGACCATTTGGCTAACACTATGCAAAACGAGGGCAAAACACGTGCGATCTGCTCCTCAAATTTCATGCTACAGTTATACTACGGTAAACACTTTAGTATAAACAGTAAAAGTAAATCTGATCCTCTGCACTTGGAGCTATTGTTCACACTATAGTAATTCAATGTAGCTATTGTTCACACTATAGTAATTCAATGTAGCATGAACAGTGAATCAATATTGCTCCTCCACAATTACAGTTACTATTCAGCCTACAGTTTTTTACTGTGTTATGAACAGTAAATCGAATCAAATGTATTAAAATTTTAATCTTTCTTTAAGTATAGAGGAGTTGATTTGACTTCTAAATAAAATATATTAAAATTTGAATCTTTCTTTAAGTATAAAGGAGTAGATTTGACTTTTAAATAAAATGTATTAAAATTTGGATCATTCTTTTAAGTATAGAGGAGGTAGATATGATTTCTAATTTTAAGCATACAATAATTAAATTAAATGCATTGAAACTTAGGGGAAGGCAAGTTTAAAATGCAGAGTTTAAAAAAATAGGGGGCCGTGCTTTACACGGGGGTGCACATTAGTTGCTTTACAAATGCATAATACAATAAGACGCATAAAGAATGATCAAGCTAAAAATTATGAGAGACGTCTATTTTGCTAAAAGCTCTTGCCTACGCTTGTTGACTCATACAAAGTGTTAAAGAGCTCTCTACAATCCAATCACAGTATTATGCTTTTCTTTTTTGCCATATTCTAGTTATATGCAAGTGACACTTACATTATAACTGTAATTGTAAGCCACCAAACAACCCTATATTATGGTTTGCACCGATCTCAAACATGGGCACAGTCTTTGAACAAAACTATCTAATGGACACAGTATATATTACATAGTTTCTCAAGCTCTCTATCAGTTTCCCAAGTTCTCTATTAGTCGATGTTAGGATGTGATAATCTATGGCCCAAGATTCACCCATTATAGAAGGATCAACGTTTGACACCCGATGCCCATGTTTTCTTTTCAATCAAAATTTATGAGATACCATATTATAAACATAACACACATTGGAGACTCAAAATGCTAGGCTTGTACATCCGACCCGTCCCGAAAAACCGGGCTCAGGCCAGGCAAAACCAGTGCCCGGACCCGAGCCCGGTTGCCCTGGGCCTAAGCGGCCGGGTTCCTAGATGGCCCTGATTTTTTACTTTTTAATTTTTTTTTAATTTTTTAAAAACTTTTTAAATTTTGAAATATACATAAAAAATTACAGAAAATACTAATAAAAAACAATAATATTATTAATAACTTAAAATGACAAAAATTACAACTACAAAAAATTATAAAATGAAAGATGATAAAAATAACTTCTTTATTAATAATTAATAAATCCTTTACAAATATAAATTTATTTCGGAATTCGTCACATCACAATGGATTAGTACATCCCAACTAGTTTGGCACCTACTCACCTATATCATTATCATTTGTAACTATTTCCAAAATAATTCATTACAAATTTAAAGCTAAGAAATAAAAATTATAATTTGATGAATATTGTTTAATCTTTATATCTATATGCTAGTCCCAACTCTTTAAATTTATCTTCAATTTCAGTCATCCGATCGATGCATTGCATTCGCTTCTTGTACTTCCACCAATCTTGTAAGCGCATCACTGCTTGTACAGTATACAGATCTAAGCATGTCATGTGGTCGTCGATCAAACGTCTTGCTGTGCTGAAGACGGATTCCGAAGCTACCGTCGAAACCTACACTGTTAGTAAGTCACGAACCATGATGGAAAGTATAGGATATGAAACTGATCCATATACTCTCCACCATTGTAAAATATCTAAAGTATTTCCTTGATATTTAACTAAAGAAGCAGATAAATATTCATCTATTTCAGAAACCTCTAATGATGATCCAAGTCCAGATTCACCAGTTAGCTCAGCTACTATTGCATACCTATCAAAACTTACACTTTTACCTCGGCTTGAGCTCGAAGACGCCAAAACTGCAGACTGTTGTGCAGCTACACCATGTCTAACTACATACTCATCATATAATGTTTGAAAATAATTTCTAATAGCTAAATGATGAGAAGTAGCAGTAAGGGTGGATCCATTATCTAAGTCTATAATCTATTCACCATACAATGATTGTAACAAACTCCGAAGGTCAATATCCTTCAAACATGGATCAACAAGAACCTCCAAACCAAAAATATGAGGAATATACCTAAAATACTTATTAAAGTTGCTCTTTATTTGAAAAATTATAGTTCCAAAAGTATCATTCATATGATGTTTGGTATTTTTTGAATATTTAAAATTTGTAAAGTAGCTAAAGTAATAGTTAGATAATAACAGTCAAATAATAACATTGTAATATTATAAAAAACTTGTAACATCTTATTTAAATTACATATAATTGTTCATTCATCTTCAGTTATGCTATAAGTGCTAACAGAGCTAGAACTAGAAGCATAATAATTTATACAATCATTTATAATTTTTTTATATTCTATTGCCACACTTAACATTACATAGGTGGAATTCCATCTATGATCAACATCTTTTGGAATTAGTCTAGGCTTATAATTTATTCTTTTATAAAATGGTTTCCATCTTTTAAGTCTTTACTCAGAAGCATTATGCATATAAGCAATTGTCCTAACCTTTTCTATCATGAGTTTAATTTCAGTAAATGCACTTTAAACAATTAAATTTAAAATATGACAGATACATCTAATATAAAAAAGATCACCATAACATGGTAATAACAGAGTTATTTTGATAAAATCAACAGTTACATTGTTATTATTTGTATTATCTAATGAAAGAGAAAATATTCTTTGATCAATTTCTAGTGTCATAAGTTCTTCAATTATTAAATTTGCAACATTAATACCAGTATGTGACTCTTCAATTGCAATAAAAAAACAACTATTTTAAACATTTGTTAATTTTTATCAATCCATTGTGCTGTGATACACAAATAACTAGTTTGTACTCTAGATGTCCAAATATCAAAAGTTAAAAAAAATCTACAGTTTAAA